GATGCTCGGAATCTATGGACTATTGACTGTTTCAACACCTATTTTCATCCAATACAACGAGTATTCCCAGCAGAATTAATCTATATCACCTTTAAAAGTAACATGATGACCTGGATATGCATTGATATAGCCATACACGTTGGTTATATAACTGTGGATACTTTATTGTTACTCCAGATTGTATAAATGGGTCCTTTGTGGTTAGCAAACTAAAAACTGAAGATCATTCTAAGTAATAAACTATTATATTACTAATCAGCAAACTATGCGAATGGACTAACAACGTCGGTTGGTTACAACGCAAACTTTGAACAATGCGCGCTTTTGATATTGATAATGGAACCTATCTATGTGATGGGAGATGGCAATCCATATCCGTCTCATGAATTTCAGCAAATTTCAATAAGATTATGCACACTAATGACTTGATATGTAAATTATTTAATACTAGATACTTTCAAAGGTTATGAATTTGACGGTGCTTGTAAACTGGTATCCCTCATGTTAAGCCTGTTAAATGAAGGCGACATTTACTATTATCTAAACTTTAATACCCTATGTACGCTGCAAAGTAATATTTCCTCGTTCATTTCATAACTAGCAGGACCTTCGGCAGTTTTTTTAAATTTTTAAATTGAGTTTAATGACATTCCATCAGTACCACTCAGGGCTCAAATCTTGTAGACATTTTGGGATGTATCAACGTGATGAGGCCTGTAAACTGGCTTCTCTCATGTTAAAATCCTTTTTAATAATAATAATAATAATAATATATTTCATGCAACAAAGGTTACATGAATACAAACCAGTTTACAGGTTTGATCACTTTGGTAATGAGAGATGACTATTATGTGCAATGTTATGCTATACATTAGATGCTGTGATTTATGGCATATAGGAGGCATGTTGAAGCAGACTCAGTTCGAATTTGAAGATTATCCGGTCGTCGTTTGAATCATCCAATATTCTTGAAGGTGAGGCCGCATCACAGTCATGACCTTGGGGTGTGCGCGTTCGTCATCAGGTTTCGGTGCCAATATTTCCCACTGACGAATGCGATTTGTAGGATTCCATTTGAATGCAGGACTGGTTAAGTAAATCTGAAAAGTGAATAACAAAAGCGAGCAGCAGGCAAAATTTGTAACAGGGGCACAAAAATACGCAGGAGTAGATCGACCATGATACATCTGGGTGAGTTTGTACTGACTATTAAACTTACTTGAGGAAGTGTCCAGAACCAACTGTTTAGAGGTAATCTTAGGTGGAAGAAGATGAAGGTGCGCACGACAGTAATGAAAGTCAGCCTGAAGATATCACTATGAAATAGAAAGATTAGAGGATATTTGACCAGGTATTAACTTGTTATATACCTCTGTACAAGCGTATGATGAAGTTATAAACATTTAGGTGAAATTCGTGGTTTTTTTTTGTTCTTAGGACCACCACCCTTTATCTGGTCACGAGAATAAAACGTTTATTTATTTATTTATTTACCGTGTTAAAGACCACACAGGAAGTGTTATTCGATGCTGTGAGGTTAAACCATGGGCTGCCAGCCTAAGAGACAAGAGGCGGCCCTCTAGAATACCACGACCAGTACTAGTCTGAAAGGAACTAGCTAGCGAACTACCTGTAGGCACAAACAACAATACCGCTGCACCAGGATCCCAAGAGGGACCGGAAAATGGAGGCCTGTCAGTCCCTACTGGACTGGCAGTCAGAATCCGATCCAACGGCACACCAGCCTCCAGACAAGTCCCCATATAGTGCTAGGTCCAGAACTTAGCTCCTTTACATGCTTTTACAGCAGTTCAAGGGGCCTTAGGAGTAAACCACTGCAGCCAAAAACAATGTGCCATAATCCGCAAGTAGAAATAACTTTCACCATAGGGACGTGGCTGTTAGCAGACATCGTGGACATGGAAACATCCTTTCCTAACATGACCCTGTTCCAAGAGGACAGGCAATTAAAAGAAGGCGGAAGAGTTGCCATGTATATTAGTGCTCAACTTAAGGTCAAGGAAGCGACTGATGGTTTATTCAGCTTACTATCAGACTTCTTATGGTGCTGGTTCACCATAAGCCAAGCAAAGTGCCTATTAGGAGTGACATATAGGCCTTCACTTCGCACGACAAAGCATACGGCGCAATTGCTCGGTGCCACTCCAACAACCATGTAGTCCTAGCTGGAGACTTTAATACACCGGCACTCGCCCCGAGATGTGAGGTAAGATATGGTTATAAATCTTTAGAACACAAACTTCGAAATACATTAATAGCAGCAGTACCGGTAGAGACGGTTGGGGAAAACACTAGATGGAAAGGGATCACCACTGGACTACGTTCTAACAGACGATGATCTTTCGGCGGACGACACCTGTGTACAAACCCCCCTAGGAAAAAGCGACCACGCATTGTTGAGATTCTCTCTGACAGCCAAGGAGACACTGCCGATAGTTGGGCAAGAGGCCTTCCGCTGTTTCGGTAAAGCAGACTACCACCCCATGAACAACGAATTCCTGGAGGCTGCATGGCCACAAGAATTGCACTCACTGTCGACAGACGAAACACTGGACACGTTAAAAATATCGTCTGGAGCGCTACCGGTAAATGTTCCGAAATTAACCAGACTCTCACCTCTCACACGGTCTTGGGTAACTCGCGCAACCAGAAGGTAAATACGGAGGAAAAAGAAGGCATGGTATCGGCGGCATGCATCACACAAAGAACCAGATTTTCATAGCTACAAGACGTCACGCAGCTTTTGTATTATAAGAATTCATAACAGCAGATATACATACCAAAACAACCTGACTAAACAGTTAAGTTACAATCCAGAAGGTCTGTATCGTAAGCCTATTAATAAAAGTTTAAACGTGATCACAGGACAGGCCGGAGAACCTTTGACCAGCGGTGAGATTGCGGAACCGTTGAGCAGACGATTTGACCAGCAACTGAACCCAACAATACATCCGCTATTAACATCTAGTAATGTAACGAAGTCTTACGACTGCGTTACGAAGCTAATAAACGCAAAGACTTTACCAAGCCAAGTGTTTACGAAACTTTCAACGCTGAGAATAGGGAAATCACCGGGCTGGTCCTACGGGACTGCCGAAGTGGTAAGCACAACCATATGTAACCTGCTCACGCACTATTTGGAGGTAAGTCAACTCCCTAGAGAGTGGAAACGTGATACCCTTTTACTAATCCTCAAGGGTGGATATTGAAAAGACCTGTGCAGCTACAAACCAGATCATTGCTCCCCAAACTTTTCAAGGTACTGGAAAGTCTGCGTGCGGGCATTGTTTGGAACCACCTGAACAGAAACAACATCGTCCATCCCATCCAGCACGACCTCAGAACTGGACGGTCATGTGTCACAAACTTGATGGCCGCTTGGGATGACTGAACCACTAGATAGGACAACAAACAACCAGCTCACGTTATCTTCTTGGACTTTGCCAAAGCTCTCGATAGCGTCTCACACTGCACCATGCTCGCCAAACTTGCAAAAGTAGGTGTCACTGAAGCACTTTCACGATGGCTTACAACATACCCAGAGGACAGAGAATTCGGCAGTGAAGTAAACAGAATTCGATCAACCTGGAGGAACTCAAGAACAGGAGTTTCTCAAGGAGCCATCCCTGGGCCACTCCTGTTTTTACTAGTCATAAATGACCTCCCAATCGAAATCTCATCTGTCCTCCAATTCGCAGACGACATGAAAATACTGAGGACGATAGGTGATGATGAGGATCCTAGGGTACTCCAAAACAGTCTGTTGCAGCTGGAGTCCTGGCCAGTCGGAAACGATTTAAACTTCGCACACCAGAAGAGGTGAAAATCAGCTACAACCTTAACAAGTGTGCAATCACCAGAGTATGAACAGAGTAGGACCGAGGACTAAACTCTTCTGACGCGCTGGCAATTATAAGGGGACGGCGTCAAATGAGAACACCATTATGCACTTCTAAGACGGCAGCCTGGATTGTTAAACCCCAGAATTATCCCTATGGTACTTGAAACCTGTGATAGACCATACATAGAGGTACTCAACACGATAGCCTCCCCACTACTAAGGAGAGACGTAAATACTCTCGAGAAGGTACAGAGAAGAGCAACAAAGTCGGTTGTCGGACTAACAGGTAAGACATATGCTCAACGCCTCAGACAGCCTAACTTGTTCACACTAAGCTACCGAAGGGAACGGGGTGACTTGGCAGTAGCCTACAAGATCATTCACCAAGTGGACCACCCAAATAGGACAACGTTGTCGGTCCAACAGACAGTTCAGTGAGAACCCCATTAACACACCCCACCATAGGGCAAAGATGAGACTGAGATCTAGCTTCTTCTCCCATAGGGTATATGCCTTATGGAACACTGCCAAAGGAAGTGGTCACAGCCACATTAGTCGACTCCTTCAAACGCCTACTGGATGAATATGTGAGCACAAATGGCTTACCACGAACATTTATCAGTAGCAACTGACGATACACCCCTCAACCCCTGTATTCCCCAACCATAGTATCTGCAATGAGACTCATCTCTCCTCCTTATTATTACTATTTACACTTTTATTTTCATAAGCACTTTTCACTCCTCTTTTTCTCATTTCACCACTCACCCTATTTCTAGCACCTTTTGAGTACGCTTAACACTTAATTGCAGGTGCTTACAACAGTAGGAATCGCGACAGGCTGACTGATCTCATCAGCAGAACCACTCCCCCCCCCAAACAAACCAAGCTACAATTTGCAAATAAAATAACTTCAAACAGACATTCACTACTTCCAAAGCTATAAGCAGGAAAACCAAAAGACTTCCGTGGCTATCGAAGGAGTGCAACCGAACAAAAGGAACGAGGCTCAAGACCTAGAAACGAGAATTCAGAAACTATAATTTTCTTCTACTCGCACTTTTGGTGTTGGATGTTGAAAACATAGCATTGTGATGTGATACGCGTTGACCTTGGGGTGCTGTTTTCTAATACCGCCACTTTTAGAAATTGGCTAATGGTGGAGTATTTCGCAACATGGGCTCTCAGTCGTCGTTGAATGATGTATCAAATGCTATCAGACAAGAGATAATACGGTTTGAAAGCGTACACCCCAATATTTATGCTATCTACGACCTCATCGATGCAATCAATGATAAAAATCTGGCCGACTCACTACGCCAACTGGTCGTTTCTATTGAAGGTATGATGTAGTTTAATTACTGTGTTCCTTATATTATAGATGCTTTCGTCAATAGTCAAGAATGGACACTGAGCAATGGTGTGCCTGGTATCAAACTAGTAAGGATCTTGTCACTTAATAATGTGGCGTTTTAGGGTCTACTTGGCTCTGTCCGGAGCGGAAAGTCTGCCTTGGTGCATCGATATCTTACTGGGGCCTACGTACATGATGAGTCCCCAGAAGGTGGTAGATTCAAAAAGGAGCTTTCTTTAGACAATCAAAGTCACTTGCTGCTAATTCGTGATGAAGGTGGTCCTCCTGACCTTCAGTTTAGTCACTGGATTGATGGAGTCATATTTGTGTTCAGCTTGGAAAATATCGAGAGCTATCAAGTTGTTTACGATTACTACGCCCGTCTTTCAACTTACAGAAGCACCACAAACCTTCCCATTATTCTTGTTGGAACTCAAGGTATGTGTGGTGATTTTTTTCTCACTGTCCGTAGATTCCAATTGTGAACCGTATGTACGAGTGATAGATGATGCTCGTGCACGGAAGCTAGCGAATGACCTAAAGCGCTGTGCTTACTATGAGACGTGTGCTGCTTACGGTCTAAACGTTGAACGTGTTTTTCAGGACGGTAAGTGAAATATATGCTAATTTCTTCCACAGCATGTCTTAAAATACTTCAGATGCGTGCGTCAAGTAGTTCGCCTGTTCCAAGACCAATAACACCACAATTGCCGTCTAATTTGCAACAAAGGCCATGTGCTAACAGCCCTGTTGAGGGCGTTCCTCTTGTGAGCATAAGTCAGTCTCAACAGTCCTTGTTTTCTAACGTGGTCAATGCTCGTGAAGGCCCTGTTGTTATGAAAAATCCTGTAAGTTAAATTGTTGACTGAATGTTAAAAAAAATATCCAAATTCTGCTAGTAAATTTTAGTAGAACTATATAATTTTTCTGTCCTTAAGTTACCACCAAGGGACCTTGAAATGGCTAATTAAGTTATAAATAATTGTGCAGTCGTTCTCGGAAGCTTTGAATTATCGAAAGAATGTCGCTGATCATATATAGGTTTATGCTTTGATTTAGTGGTAATTTTGGTTGAATAAAAGAGAATCAACTCTCATTGTTTCGTCGCACCACTCGCTAATTTTGAGAGGGTTTTAATATGGCTAAATTTCCAATAAAGAACAAGATTATAGATAAGTTCCCGCTGGAGTACGCTCTAAAATAAGGTTTTAAAGTTTGCAGTGCTTTGGTGTTTGCTTGATACTTTATGACTTAGTTCTCAACTTTTGTATTTTGAAATCTGTAGATATTTACATGGTTTTCAGTGTCATGAACTTGATGTCCTCTTGAAAATTCCAAACACTTTTTCAAATAGTTCTACAAGGGTTCATACAAATGAGTGTTTATAGCAGACTACTTGAGAATTTTTTCATGTCCATGCTGCAGTTTAGGTGGTTTAATGTCACGTAATCACATGGGTGAATACTTTTATCTCGTCCTTTTACTTCGGACTGAAGAATATGGCCGAAACCATTCATGATTTCCTAAGCCGAACATACTGTAATCTACTTTCGTTTCTAAATTAATAACCAGAAAAGAGCTGCGGTCTCTTTATTGGTGTGTCCAAGGTTATTTGATGGTCACTCATAGACGGCAAAATCCTATAGTTCTGCTCCTTTTTGGACTGATCCACCTTCGCAACAGCATCCGAATCTTACGAATACTTACTACTAAGTTTGGCGAAATTCGAAGGGCGTAGATGAATATAGGATAAAAACGCCGGTGTGAATTAGTTGCCAATTAAGCAGACCAGAACTTGGAAAAAGATTATTTCCCCTATGATGGGTTACGTCAGAATTGCCATAAGTATGGGTTTTCCCCGTACATTAGTTCCTTTGCCGTGTAGTTTTTAAACTTCTGTTCTAATTTGTTCATTATTTTCCTTCGAGACTATTGTCTGTTTTTAATGTCTATCACATAATTTGCGGACACCGTCATTATTTCATAGTCGAAGAGCATGTAATGAACTCCCTGAATGTTTAAAAACAGTTTTATGCGTTCTTTATTGCGTTGTATATGGAGTAATATTTCTTTGCATTACGTTTCTTCGCTGATGCAACATTGATCAGTGTCGTTCGGCAACTTAGGAGGGCTACTGTCATTGTGAAAGCATTGTTAGGTAATCTCCTGCTGTTACTGTTGACAAAGCACGGTGAGCTTGTTTTGTTGCTTCTGTATCTACGATAGGAAAAATTATGTTTGATACTGGTAACATACAGTGGTTTTGTGTTTGAAAATTTGGAATTTTCGGGTCAAAATAGTACATCAACACACACTAACCGAAGTTTGTAAATCACTAAGCGAAACCTAACTGGACGGGGTAACATAAAGTGTAGTAGATTTCCCTTGTTAAATGTACTGGGTTCCAAATTGGGAAGCTGTACCCGTTACTTTCTGCTGGAGTTTACTGCGGATCGTTGGCACTTTCCAATCTTTTGGTGATTTGATGCTGTTAATACAGGTAAAGAAAGTCGATCGGATGATGAGGTAAGTTTTCATCGACTGCATAGGTTGGATGATACGCTACTTATGTCTAACCAACACCGGACTCAGCGCTTATTGTTTGCTCTGATTATCGCTATGTGTACACAAGCATATGAAATAATTTACTAACTCCTCATTTGCAATTATAAGTCGTTAACATTTATCCATTCTCACCCCCAAAGCAAGTAATGCCAATAAGCTTTTAGCAGTGAAATACAAAATGTTTTCACGCTGTCTACCTTCAAAGTGTTACGACAGTAAGGTAATGTTGGGCACGTTATTACGTGTTATTGTTCTTAATTAGGTACATAAATGGCTAGAACTTCTGTGACGACTTGGAGACAATGGGTTACCGTGACAAACACTTGTAAGGAGCATACATAACAGCCTTTTTGTGTCATGATTATGTTGACTGCACTTCTGAATTTACAAATCAAACTCAGTGTTGCGTTCTTTAGTGTGATGCGTTTGTTAGGTTCTGTCCATTGAATGCCTTTGAATGCCTCTTAAGGTTTCGGCCTGTCAGCTTTGTACTGCGTGCACTGACCTGCTGTTTGGAGTACGAGAGGATCCGACAGTCTAATTCGTGCTGTCGTGGTGTTTATTCAGTGGCACATGATGGCCAGTTTCTGTTTTCTGTTGATATGGTGCTAGTGAATATCTAGGCCAGGTGATGCATTGTTATAGAGGCTATGTTGATTGTTGAGAAAGTTGGAATGTTTGGCCGATGAAACTCATATTATGATCAATTCCAAAGCTCATCTTAATTGATCTTAAAGACTTATATGCCTTGTCGCTATCTTGTGGTCAGTGGAATGAAGTTTAATGTAAATGATGAATAAATACGAAATAGCGTGACAGCATAATGCTTGGTGCTTAATCAAGAGTAGAGCGAAGAAACGTCACTCGATAAGTAGTGGTCTCATGCAAACGAATGGAAAACTGTTTGATCTGTTTTTCCAGGTGTCTTTGCAGAGAAACTGTTATTTAGTGGCAAACAGATGTTTGTGCTTCGTTTGTTTACCTTGTCTTCTTGATATCTTTTCCCACTGAAAAGTGTTACTACGTAGGCGAATACCCATTCTCTTGAGAGAAAGGTAATCTCGTTTTATTAAGGTATTGTTGATAGGCTTTTTTCAGCTCCTCATAATTTAAGCCGTATAGTGTTCACCAGGTTCATGGTGGATCTCTCTCCCGAATAAACTCATGATACATGCGCGATGAAACTGTTTCTGATGTGTTGTCTGATTGGAGAGACCTGCAAGAATGCGGACTAATTCACTACTTGCGTATATTGCTGACTATTAATCTGTTGTGTCTTTGAGGTAACCCCTTCGCCACTGTTACATCTGTGTTGACGGTATGGCCAGTGTTTTGGTCTTAACCTAGGTTTGGGTTTCCTATTGGGTCCTACGACTAACGGACTGAGGGAAGTCCCCAACGCTGGTGCCAACTATTGTCATTCCCTGAGTTGCTACTCGCGAGTTGTTTCGACAACCACTAACGTTAAATCTGCTGAGTTAGAGAGAAGACGAAGTTAGGTTGTCAGTCCACCCAATGCTTCATTCGTCATGTCGTATGTAGCAAAGTATATGGAAAATGTCAGGCCTTAGGAGCGTCGGCGGCCTTATCAGATTGCAAAAGAATGAGGACAAATTTAGATACATGAGGGACATTCGTCAGTGATTGATTTCTTGGGTACGGATACAACAACCTAATTTCTCTTTTTTCTCTACTTGGTAAGCTTTATCTCACACTCGATGGTTACCTAGGTTTGATTCCACTGTATCGCACTTCAAGGACAGGATTCTAGAACGTTGAACAGGAGCGCGACCCAATTAGTAACAAACTTTCTGTTGATTCCACTTTAGCACAGTAGAGCTGTGGCTCATAGACTTTCAGCTAGTGGGTTACGTATTTGATTTTGACTCCATCCACTGAGATTTAGACAGCCAGTTAGTATCATTAGACTTCACACGATAGGTGTCACCCATTGCTTGTCCGTCTAAATTTCGTTGTCATATATCCTTTGGCTTAATGAATTTCGTGTTCCACTTTATCATGAATAAGTTTGTTACTCTAAGCCTAAGTAAATTTAAACCTTGAAAATGTATTTGGATTTACCACAATTTCTTAGTTCATTTCGAAACAGCCAGAAAATTAAGTATTCTCAACCGTTTTGTGAAAATTTGAACCTTATGAAGATTCTCAATAAATTTGTTACCTGAGTAGCTAGTTCTCGCGGTTTCCTAACCAAGACCTATATACACACATAAATTTTCTCTTTGATCTTCATTATTTTGGGGCGAGTTCAGTTCCTTCGAACCTTTTCTTGTTGCTATCTGTTAGTGTTGGGTTGCGTTGATTTCTTATGTACCTATCCAAGTGTTTTGTATTGAATTGCTTTGGGTTCTCGAGTCCCATTCGTATCAAGACATCGATACCATAAAAGGTGATACCAAAAAATAGTGAGTGGGTGCAGAGAAGAAGTGGCCACAGCGGTAAAACATCCAAGATTTTGAAGAAGTTAGAATTTTCTTGTAACTGCCTTTCGATGATTTCATACAACATTCCGAACTTCTGAATGACTTGCGTATCTTTTTTCACTTCGATTGACAGTGGTCTCTATTTGCCGTACACCACCCACGTTTCACCATGAATTCATTGGTCTCGCCAAGCGTTGAAGGCTTTCTTGAGGTGTTTGTTAGACGTCTTTAGCTCCCAATGACTACCACAAGCATGATAAAAACCCAAATTTATAGTTGTGCTATTTTTCTTATCTGTAGTGGGTTGAAGGCATGCATGATAATTGTACCTAGTGACGTAGTTTCACAGATGGTGTTCACATGTGTGGATGCTTCTGGATTTTATTGTTGACTGGATATTAAAAGATAAAAATAGACCTGCATTTCATTATTCGACTATTTGATTGATTTTATAAACGCTTCTCAGTGTTGAAGATTCCACTTGATTACTACGTCCACCGCTTTGAAAATGTGAAGTGGCACTGAACGATATCAAATTTATTCCATTTTCAGGGTGCAGCTAAACTGTTTCGGTTCCGAGGACATGGCAAACAGTGCATTCGTTTTCTTATCCAATCCATTAAGCTATATGTCTGAGTAGTTGTGTTATCTGTTTTTAAAATTGAGCGTATGTAAAGTGCTCATTTTTGTAACTAGGTCATTGATCTAAGCACTCGACTTCCGATTGATGGGCCGGAGACTTGAACATCGCCCCACCTACGAAGGTGTTGACAGTCAGGTGTTATCGTTAGCCCTCACAATGAATGTGGCTAGTTACACCTGGTGCGTAAAAGTACACATGGTTGCTGAGACCATTTTCATTTTCACGATTTTCGCCCTTTTTCTCGTCTTGGTTCCAGAGATTTCTTTTAACCCCCTTACTCGTTTCTTACTTACTACTTCAGCTCGACACTTTTATTTTGTCTTACGTTTGTTTTTGCAAACGTGTGACAATGTATTGATAGGTCAGTAAATTTTGCAATGATAAGCAGGATTTGCACAAATCAAGTAAAAAGTTAGATTGTTCGTGCTACCTAATACCACTCGCTTCCTAGGTGTACTACGCTGTAATTTATTTCAGAAGACCTAACTGATTCCATCTGTCACATCCTATGTTTCCTTTGACTCATTGTATTTTTTCACGACTTTTACATTATGTCAGTCACTGAAACACTAAACAAAAATCCCATGTCAAATTTTTTGGGGTTATCAGGTATAGTTTCTTTATTTTACTTCCAGGGGTCTAACTGTAATGTGACTAATGCAGCCACAGGCGGCATCGATAAGAAAGAGCGGACAGTATTCTCAAGTAATCCTACAAATCGTCGTCCTGATACTCACAGCAATCCTGGATTCGAACATGATTTCAATGAAGTAATAAATAATTTGTTTTTATATCACTCATTTTATCACAACAGTGTATGCAATCATTTTCTTTGCCACAGTAAAATTAATCACCTCTATAAAACGTCCATAGGTATTGGTTTAAACCAAGTGCAGTTTCAATAGACAGAAAACTTATCTGAGTGACCGACTGCAAACTTGTGTCCTATTTATAACTGTGCTCAGGGTACAGGAGATGCAGTGTCTGTGCTGCTGTATGCTTATCTAAACCAAGTTTATGCCTAGATTTCGAGTACACCTTGCAGTACTACTCATCAAGCTTTAAAGGACAGTAAAATAATAGACCTTTTTCACTACCCAACTTATTACTAGTAATCGTCAATATAAGTGGCTCATCATCCAATTTACCCGTTACTTCCTTGTAAAAATCACATGGTTTCATACTGCAAAACTCTCCATATTTGTTAGATGTCAAAAGTTAAGGACAATAAATTGCATCCAAAACGTGATTCAGTCAATGATACTGTTTACCTAAACTGGACGCGTCTTATGAATCAACTGAAAGAAAATTAGTCTGATGTAAACGTGCCATTTTATGAACTTGACGTGAGAGTTTTCCTGTTGTTTGATGCATCTTTACATTTTAATATTCACTCATATGAACGAAATGTACGATTATCAATTTATGCGTAAGTGTTATTCACATTGTTCAGACGTAGCTTTATAGGAGAATAATTATACAATATTTACGGACAAGTTGTTGTGTATTCCACAAACACGCATATTCCAAACGGCTTCTCATTGATTATTCTCAGGATTTTTATATTTATCAACTAGGACAAATATTTTCCCCAGGTTTTACTTGTGATATTTTTATACCGATGTTTTCAGAACAATGTGTTCTCATTAAGACCCACGTAGTTTGTTTGACTACTGATGTAGTGAGTTTTCGAAAACTACTTTGGTATTGTCGAACTATTTTATATATATACCGGTTTGAATATACTGAGGTTAAATTGAAAGCTACCTGCCATTGATATTCTGTTTTGTCATCTCTCAGGATTCTGGTTTTCATCAGACCCTTGTGAATTCCGCAAAACCTAATCTGTTAAGCATTGCAAAACATTCTTTGACTTTGGATCATCGACCTTATGAGCGTGAAAATTTCTTTGGAGATATGAAGCCCATTCGGCCTAATATGAATTCAGTAGATCCCGCAGAAGATTGGGCTACTCATCCATTTATGTTTGATGGAAAGTATCAACATCCCCTGTTACGTTGTCCAGAGTATTTACCAACAGAATATTCAGAAAGTATTTTTCAATCACCTTCGCCGCACATGTATTTAGAATACAGTGGAAAAGCTTTGCATACACCTAATACATCGTCTTCATCGATTGGGAATTCTGAAAGTGGGTCAGTAATGAGAGTAGCAACTCCACAGTCTCTTTCTGCACCCACTAGCTCCACTACTGGACAATCCCCATCTGCTGCTTCTCCAAATTATCCGCCAGGAACTCTTGCTGCAGCTAGTAGTGTTTCTTCTATTGGGCTAGGGGTCGAAGTAGTTGTAAGTTTTGTACCGTTTGAGAAACGCATGCTTGCTTCTTACCCGCTCCCCACTCACCTTCCCTGCACGTAATTCGCTTGATTTGGGGGATTTTTCAAAGCAATGAAATAAGTTTAAGGGTGTATGTAGCTTCAGGCTGGTACACATACATAATGATATTTGATTGTAACTGCTTGCATCTTTTGCAGCATGATTTGCTATCGATCAGTCATTTTTTTCCCGAAAAACATTATCAATTTCTTGTAAGATAGATCCGGTCGTGAGAAATGACTATTCATTAGTTTGCACGGCTTCATAAGTTGCATCTAGATAAGAAATCGCTAGCCTGCTTAAATATATTTGAATGTTTTCTCTTTCTAACCTTTAGGAAAGTAAGGCTGACAATAATGAATCTCTTACTCCTAGCAGTACTCCAACACATTCACGAAAGAATAGACGAAAATCCAATCTATTTGTAAGCTGCTTTTGGCTACTTTCCTTTTCTATATCTTTTTAAAAAAAAGCTTATGTGAGAGAGTTTGTGCTTCTTGTCTCTAAAATGTCATGTCACCATGTTGCATTATTATATTGTCTGTTTGCGATTTGGCTATAGAAGGTTAGATATTTTGGATGGTTTCTGGTAGTTAGTTTAGTGACTAGGTTCTTATATCGTACTGGTAAAACTGGCTTTAGATGCTTATCGAGTAAATTGATATGAATATCTAGTATGTGTAGTTTTTCATACTAAAAACATGATATTAAATCTGAAGAAAATGATCACTTGCCCGGTTTCTAGTAAATTCCTTAGTTTTCTCATTTTGTGGAATAGAACTCTTATACGCTGATGAAACGACTGATTGTTTTATATGTCTGGATTTTCATTATATAGTACTTATGTTTAACTTGATTGTACATACGCCTAATAGGCAGAGTGTAACTTGGGGATATGTGGAGTAGATAGTTAACCATGCGTGTTATATGAGCGTTTATTTTGCTGTCTGACTGTCCACACCTCGATAGGTGATGTACATTTCAAACTGGTTATTTTGTCGGTTAAAAGTTGATTACGTGAACCAATTCCACTAAAAGCAGACTACTGGAAGCATGCGAGGGGTTGACACTTCCAGGCTGTTCACACAGTGGAAGGCTATTTTTTCTTAAGGCACCTGGCAGAGAAAAAGGTTCGTGTGACAGCAAAGCTTATGAGACATCTGCTTGAAGCCTGTCACGCATACAGCCTTTTGAAATTTGGTTCTAACGCCGGGTTGGGAAAATCCATACCACTGGCACCGGAAGACCGTGGGATGAGTGTTTATTTTTGGGGCCGATCTTTCCTAAGCCCCTCTATTTGGGAAGGCAGCATTAGCATGACATTGCTGGCCATTCAAAGGCAACACCTCACTGCTATCACACTCCATCCAGCTAGCGGCAGTACGACTTCGCCCTCAGTCTCCCGTCATATTGTAGTAATTTACACTACAACGATAACTACTTTTCATCTTTCTACTACCCAACAGACCTTTCTAGCATGATAGGACCTCAAGGGAATAAGCTCTGCACCAGCATAGCTCATTTAGTCATTATGATATGCAAGTCCAATCACCAAGTCAAGGTGGCAGCCTTCGTCCGGAACTCAAAGGTAAAAGTGGCCAGCGAAGTCCTCAGAATAGACGGTACTCTGTAAATACACTCATAATCCACTCAGGTATTTCCTTTTATAGAGACCATGTTCATATCGCAGAGGATTTGAGTGTCTCTTATTCCCTAGAAGGATATGTATTCTTTCTGAATGTTTTTCGAGATTTGAAATTTTCTATTGACTTATAGTCTTGTCGTTTTAATTTTTTTGTTTATTCATCTCTATTTTCGACTGTTTATGTATTATACCTTTATTACTACGTATAACATTTCTAAAATTAGTGTACATGTGAAGCATTGTTTTCAGTGTTTTGACATGCTAATTTTCTGCACTTAGTTGGTATACACCGGCTCTTATTCATTCTACTTTATGGCATTTATTTTTTCATCATAGTCTTTGTCATACTTTTCTTCCATTAAAGTTCAGTCATGCTGAGTTGTGTTCATTTTTTTAGTTCTATACTTGACGGTGATATGTCATTCAATGTTCGATGCATTAACTAGTCTATTTCTTCTGTGCAAAATTAACTAACCTAAGATAGTACCCATGATAGTTTTGCGTATTACATCTTCAGCATAAATTGGTTCTATTAGCTTACAAAACTAAGTACATATCAGTCTTGTTTATTGCCGATTTGAAAATAAGTATTCAGCGCAAATTATGTCAATACTAAGGTTTATAAATCATGAATTTTATACTGAATCATACCGTGTTTTATTAGCAGACTTGATCTATTCTTTATCTTTTGGGTTAATAACGTTTTTGAAAGTATCACTCTCCTCATTTCTTTTCATATCTACCAGAGACTAGATTCTGATTTAGTTTTGAAAATAACTTCTCTCACTTCATTCAAATTTATTGAAGGTAGATTGTGTTTTGTTGAAATGTGATTGACTTTAGTGTGTCCAGCAGAAGTTAATATATTCAGAGGTTTGCTTTAGAAGTGATGAATACTGAGTTTGAGTCTCAGGGGGAACAATACTCACTGGATTGCAGGTACACCTAGCTAACGAGTTCCGAATAGGATGAAAGCGCATGCGGGATTCCTCTACTAGGCATAACCAAGTCAATTATTTCTTTTTTTAGTTGTATTCATCACCTGAAGTTTAGTACACATCATCATTTTTTATCTGCTAACCTGTTGCATTATCCACTGCAAATGCAGATCATACAAGTGTTCCAATTTTTCAGCTATCATCATGATTGTGAACATTCCTTATACACACAAATAGGTCATTGTTCATCATATCTGATTTATGTATATCGCTTGCACTATAATTTCGTGTATTGTTTTTCATCTTAGCAAAAACGTAATGATGATGAACGGGAAAGGGAGAAAAAGTTGAATGGAATAGGCAGTGGACGTGCTATCCCACTTAAACAAGTGAGTGTCGAAGTACTTTACAGTTTCATGTTGGTTTTCGTACTTTAATTACGAAAAACAACTGTTGCATAATGTTTGTTGATAAGAAATGGAATGCCTGTCAATCGGTTCAGGGAATGTAGGTGTCGCTTAGTGTAACTTTTGCTCATTGCTTTAAGCACTCAACTTTCAACAAGGATGAATTATACCCCACCTATCGTGGTTTGGGGAACCAGCTACTATCATTACACTTCAGACCATGGGTGTAGCTCATTGTCCGTTGCATGAAGCTTGAAGTCGTTGTTGACTTATATGAAACATCACTTACCTTTTGCTTCAAATAAGCTACCAAGTTAGCTTTGAACCTCGGCAGCAAGTTTTTTGTAAACATCTCATAAATATTTGTAATCTCTCCCACTGTATTAGATGTGGTTAAATGCTTTTACTAAGATTTCTTATTGTAAAGCGTTAATCTTAAACTTAAGTTACAGAAAATTGTAAAATAGATCTTCGTTGATGAAAAGGGATTTCCTGCATCAGTTGTTTCATCTGCTAACCAGTTTTAACGTTAACTCGTTCAACATCCCACATTTTGCAGTAAACATCAGATAGCCAGTATCAGCATATGACTTGGCATTACAAAGTAACTATATACTCAGCCGCACAGATAAGCACGTAAAAGTAGTAAGCACATAGATGGAAGATAAATGAATGAAGAAGAAAGTTATCAAAGTAATGAAATGTCATGAGAAGAGACCAAAAAGCAATGAAATGGTTGGGAGGTTCAGAATGAAGGTTAATATTAAGATAATGTGTGAATCCATCTGGGCTACCAAAATCGATTCTGGGTCATATCACCTAGAGTTTCTTACTACCGACTTTGGTTGTCGTGTGAACCCCAACCGGCAAGTCTTCCTTTCTCCACACGAGTCAGACCGACTATCGAAGACTGATGCCATCTTTTAACCCAACCAATGGTAACCTTTTTCCAACCTACTTGTGCGACAGGCAATGACTAGGTGTGCGTAACACGTGTCTTAGTAATCTGAGTCCATGAAGGTCCACAACCTCATCGATTGCTTTTCCTCTATAACTTAAAGCTCTGTATCGATCGTCTACGTTACTGATATGGTGACACCGCGAAACATTGCCTATGGTAAGAAGATGATGGCGCTCGAACACCTGAAACCGCATGTCCTCTACCAGTAATGGTCATATTTCACAAACAAATAGTTGGAAAGAGTGAACTTCAGCTCAGTACACTCGACCGTAATATACTATTGGATATTACAGCGCCGCTATAAGTGACGCAAGTTAGTAAATTCTAATCCAGCCTTTTGTATCCTTGCAGAGATTTTTTCGGTGACACCTATCAGGGTTGATCTGATTTTCCTATGAGTTGGTGAACGCGCTCAACCAATTCGCTCCCTGTTGTTAGACTAGACATCACTGAAGGCCAGTGCTGGAGCCGAAGTTTGTATTTCGATGGTGACAAACGCGTCTGAATGATTCTCAAATTACTAGTCATGGTGTCTAGTGGATCTTGTATTTTGTCAACGTCTTCATCTAACAGGACTAAGGCAACTACATATTCTAAGCCTACTAAATAGTTTCCTGTGGCAATATCAGTCTCATTAAATTCATTAAGCTGGTCTATGATAAAGTTAAATAGTAATAACAGACAGTGGGCATCCTTGGTGGACATCACTGCATGTACACAACTAATCTGATGTCTGACCGTGGGCTGTTACACGTCCATGGTTGTTCGACTATATAGCTTTCAACAAGGTGATGTACTTACACGTCCTTACGTTTAGTGAGAGACACTCTTGTGACACTCCTCGATTGATGGGGTTGAGTGCCACCTTCAGGTCAAAATACGCAAATGGTGTCGAAGGCGCAAGTAAGTGTGTCTGTGTTCTACACTCTGACAGAGAAGGGATATCTCGTCGATACACCCACGACCTTCCTAGAACCTCTGGTTATCTGTCGTTTACTGTTCTTGAGGTCAACTTAGGCGTCTACTGATTATAGAAACTAGAATCTTAGACACTACGTGTTATCACAAGATGATTCATCTCATTTCTTGAGTACTAAGGCAACCAGCTATTAAGACCAATCGGAAGGGATCATATCTGATTGTCATATGCCATGTAACGCTCCATCTAATCTAGTCAATAATTCTCTACTACCGTCCTTAAATACCTTTGATACTAGTCCATTTGACCTCACCATCTTTCCTCATTTCAGGTTGTTTACTGCCTTCTGCAGTAGTCGAGGGGGGCTGCCTAAGAGTTATATTCAGAATCCTACTGACAATGGAATAATAACTAAAGGTCAGGTGAACTGTTCCTCGAAGTTTCGCACCCATTGCTCCAGTTGTCTCTTCTGCAAGTGGATCATAGACTCATTCTTTTTTATGACCTCACTAACCATTGATGTTGTCGCCGCAGTTTCCTTGACAAGTCTAAAACCAATTCCTACTGTTACCTATCGCTGTTTTTTTCATCTCTCTGCCCTTCGCTGTTTGCCATTGCTTGCGGTTTTTGTGTAGACTCTAACAGTCTACATTTGAGTTGCTTCCGCTTCTGATTGTGCTTCAAGCCTACAAGAATGTGTTCTCATGGGTCCATCAATGGAGAAGCCATTGAGATCATTTTACTCTTTACTTTTTATGAGGGTCAGTTGACATATATGACTTTTCATAAGTGGCTGGAAATGGTATCTTCCTTCTTCCAACTGAGTGACGTTCTATTCCTATAACTGTCCAGCCACTTCCATTTTAAAAGCAATCGCAGTATTCCCACCATCAAGATGTGCTCGGAATGGTCTCGCAGCTGTAGCTTTACTATGTTCATTTAGGTGCAGATGTACGCGTCCTCGAGCCAGTGCGTAATCACAATCCAAACACATGCTTTAGAATGAGTGGCAATCTTGTACCAACCATTTCCAGAGGAAACTGATAGCAAAATGGTCAATTCGTATTCTGCGTTAAGTTGAAATAGGTGAACTCCAGGTAACGTTTGTCTTTATGTCTGAAATTGATGCTCACCAGAAGTAGGTGGTTGTCTGAGCACAGTTGTAGTCATCTTAAAAGTAAATGAAACTAATATTCTGAATTTATGCTTCATGTATACTTAAATCTCTGAACTGTCGAACCGGTTATCATTACGATGTCCTGGAGGAATCTTTCGATACTTTTCATTTTTATTCATTTTGCCCATGTATTTACTGGTCCGCTTTCGGACTACGTCTTTATCAACGTTTTCATTCGGTAAGATATTGTTCATCTGGATGGTTGAGAGAATTTTAACAAAAATGTATAGTATGAATAAAGAATGCAATACGAATAACTTCTGCTAATTTAACCTGTTCATTCCAGATTTTTTCTCTTAAGTTGAGTAGTCATACATAATCATTCGTATGAAATTTATTTCAGGGATTTTTATACAAACGAACTTGTAAACCATTGAGTAAAGAGTGGAAAACAAAGAAATATGTGACTTTAACAGATGATGCCCGCCTTACTTATCATCCAAGTATTCATGTGAGTTTTGGCTAATATTTTCCCCCTTTTAGATTATTGGGTTTTTCAAAATTATCCGGTTTACTTATTTATTGACAACAGTAAGACAAAATATAGTTGTGACTAGGACAGTATTAGATATTTGTCTTGAAAAAGTTAGCGTAATTATATCTTTGGAAGGGGGAAATGTATTCCAAGTGAACTTTCCTTTCATTATTAAATATTTAATTATCATGTATTGAACTAGTCATGTTAGCATACGCATCTTCACATTCCTTTGCAAAACAGTTGACCACTATATAGTTAGATAGATAGACAGACAGATAAGATAAACATAGGACTAGACATTACTGCGCAATAGTCCAAGTCGCTGCACCTCATATCATCAACTCATCAAGTGAGAAACCATTAAGATGAAAGATAGAGAAGTAGAGAAAGCGGTCAGGAGTAGTAGAAATTCGTGGCAAGATAAGAAGTAGGCGTAAGAAAATAATTAAGATAAGGATAAGATGTGGATAAAACTGCGCCAATGAAACCGATTTTAAACCATGTCACCTAGAGTCTTCAATCATTGGTTTCGGTTATTACGCCAACCTCAACCGAAAAGTCTGTATTTCTCTACATGGTTCAAACCAACAGTCAAAGATTTCATGCATTGATGCCATGTTTTAGTCTGTCCACCCCTCACCTTTTTCCAGCTTAAATCTACCCCAGTTAACATTGTACGATGAGGCAGATAGTGGCTAAACATGTGTAACAAATGTCTCAGACATCTGAACCGATCATAATACCAGTCATTATACAATCTCAATGTTCTACAAGCAATATACTAATCTCAATGTTCCTTTAAAAAGTTTAATTTTTGGATAAGAGGAAGTCTCTTAAAAGAAAAACAAACAGTAAAATTCATGACAGGTTGCTTACTGCTATAATCTGGTGACCAGTCGAAATCTATGCACATTGCTTGCTTCTAACTTGATACTCAGATACTAATAACTTCAACACCTGCAAATGGAACTCAATAAGAAAAGATTTTTCAAAATCGAGAGCTTTTACTGTCTAGGTAAAGATGAAAATAATCCCGAGCACCAAGTTGGAAGCAATGTTACATTCAAAAATACCGTTAATCAATTACGTAGTAGTCTTGAAAACGTTGAGGAAAATGATCTACTAACATAGACGTGAGAAAGAGCGCAAATTTGGAAAAGTAAAATATACTCTGTTGGGGTAATAATTGGGCATCCTGAAACTTCGATTGACTTAGAAGGGTACGGTTTGTGACTTTCATCCTTTAAATAATAATTCGTTATTGACTCTTGGTTAAGCTTCCAGTTAGGTGGCGATTAGCGCAAACGTGTTAGGCAGGAGATTCGAAAGTAAAGTTGCCTTTTGTGGTTGGAAGGTCTTTCTTACCCAAAAGTGACTTTTTGTACCCAGCCCACCTTCCTTGACCAGCCTTTACGTTGTATAATGCACTTTCTCTGCACCAGGTTGTTATTCTATCTGTTCATATGTCTCCTGGTCTATAGTTTCGCGCATTAAATTGTCTCTCCTTTCTAAGTGAGGCCGAATTTTCCGTCGTACTTTCCGTTTCGTGGTGGAGCATCATTTGATGCGTTTTCAGTTTCCCCATAGGTGCTTCTGTTGGTTACTGATGAATCGGTACGGCTTTGTTTAACGTTTTTTGATAGCCGAAAAACGATTGTCGTATTATCTTTGGCACGTTTCTCCGCGCATTGAGGCGAATTCATTGGAAGCACGCACAAATCTTTTGTCTTGTCCATTAGACAAGAAATAATATAGAACCATGCCAATATGGCAATCCGTTGACAAAATTCTCCAAACTGGTAAATTATGTTATGAGGGATAGATGATAGGACTTGTAACGTCCGCCATGTTGTCAAGCGTTTGTTTGGTACTATCTTCGGCCATTTCGTCAATGCGTCTTTTAAAACCAGATATTATTATCCATTAATTAGACCTGCATGAGGTATCTGTTTTTAGCCAGGGAATAGGTGGAATTCGTGGCGAATGGTAAGCTACTTGTTACCGGGTACAGTTTATTAGGAACCGAACACAGTCTTCGTCCACGCGTGACCTGTAAGCATAATTTAGTGCGATGGCTCTCCTGCGTTTAAATTGGCAACAAACCTGCTAATGGACTGCTTGTGGAACGATGATGTGATTCAGAAAGACAAAATCAACGTAAAACCTCACACACAAGGGCATCGGTCCAAGTCCCCTCACTTCACAGTAGTATACAAAGAACAAGTAGACAAAAGTGTATGGAAAGTGAAGGCATTTAAAAATTGAGGTTTGCCAGCCTAAGTTTTTAAGAATGGAGGGGGGGGGAATCGCTGGTTGGAGTAACAGAGGTACTTTTCCCGGACTTGAGACAACTATTTGCTTTGCACAAAGACTGTCTTCGGTGGAATAACTGCTGGAGATCACCTAGTTGTGTTCCAGTCAGGCACTAGTGTTGAAATCATTCAATTGCGTGTTTTGTTTCGTCTTCTTTAGTAGCTGTCTACTAATGCAATTGAAAAGACTCAGACTACTGTAGTGAGATAATGAACTACCTCATCTTTTATAGATCCCGTCGCTATTACTGCATCTTTTGCTGATGTCACATACTCACAGATATGATATAACAGTCCGTCTGCTTGACCAAATTCTTGTTCACGTCGGTGTCGGGTCTTCTAGTCGTATCCTAGTATTGTTCAATGTCCATACCTGTAACACGTTTGCTATATGCGCGCAGGGCTTCTGAGATTTCGAACTGAGTGCCGACAGCAGCGGCTTATGATCGGTGAAAAGTGTGAAATATCTGCTATAAGTCAGCTTATGAAAGGAGAGAAAATCAGAGACTAGGTTTCCTTCTCTATTTGGCCCTAGCATTTTTTTATTTTGTGGATAGTTTTAAAGTATCAAGCTCATTTACTATCTGATTACTGTGTAGTCATATTGTTTTGACTGACGGATCTTGTATCAGCCATCCCGAAGATGAGATCACTTCTCCTATCCTCTTTGAAAATTTATTTTTCAAGTTCTTTTTCTGTTCCCGGTGTTTATATTTATACTGCTCTTTGTTTTTTGGGATTTAAGAGACCTCGTTATAAATATCGGTTTTTTGAGGTATAATCAGCTCTTAAGAAATGCTGCCCTCTTATGTCAAATATGAATTTATTCGATCGACTTGTTACACATTACAGGGGAAAGTTTCTCATCCATTAGCTATGTTATCATATAAATATGAGTTATTATTTAACCTAGGTAACTTCTTGCCTCAGCTAAACTCTTTGTAGTAGTTTTGACTGTCCTATATTTCAGTTGTTCGAATAGAAACAACCGTATACGTTGAATGCTTTTTTGATATCTGTTGATTATAATGTTATAATGGTACGTAGCTCACGGCTGTAGACATAGACACTTGACTACGCACAATTTGATTGAGAGTTGAAACCTATCCCTTTTCATTTGTCCCAAGCAATGGAGGTATTGTGATTTACCCTTAAACATTAAGTGTGGGTCACAGCCTAGTGTTAAAACATAGAATTACCTTAGTAGTTTGAAGGTTAGACCTAGAATCTTAAATGAAATAGGTCAAGTTGTAAATCTTCATCACCTCAGTCGGTTGAAACGTGTGTTACACAGGCCTAGTAACCGTCTACCTCATCGGTCAACGGTAGCTGAAGTAGGTTCAGACTGGAAAATAGGTGGTGATCGAACTAAAACACGTTATCAATTCATGAAGTATCTGTTAGTGTGAACAAAGTGTGGAGATGTAGACCTCTCAGTTGAGGTAGACTTCAGTATGAAGTTAGTGGTGATGATGTCGTCCAGAAAGACGATGAAAGCTTCACGAGTAAACAACCCATCTCAGAGAACACAATACAACCAAGACCAATTGAAATTCGATATCCTTATTGTTATACCTTCATGTTATGTAGACATTTGTGTAGTTTTTCCGAGAGTTTTCACAGACTAACTTATTCTTAACACCTTAAATTCTACAGGTCTACTTAGAATCAATGGATTAGTGTGAAATTTTGCCTCATGATCTTCATAAATTTACAACAAATGAATTCTATGCTTTCAGCTAATTAAGCTTTGATTTACATCTATCCGTAAGAAATCCCTAAATATGTCATGTAGTTATTCTGAAATTGAATCGAAATGAACTCAGCAATCATGTGGAGTAGATAGTCAACGTAGGCTAATAATGCTAGTTGGTTATCGGTATCCAGGACGGTAACTCAGGAATTGAAACTCTGACCCACTCGGTTAAAAGTCGAGTATCTAGACGAATGAACCACAGCTCCCAGTCATTTCAATTATGATGAATGATATCACCTTTTCTGCTGCTTGAAGTATATCTCAATTTTACAGTATTAGTGACTGTCCCTTATGGCAACACTTTCGTAAACGTTGTTATGAACGGTGACATTTTCACTCAAGTTCAATTTGTAGGTGTTTCATAAATTATATCATAGAATTTCATGTATTATATATGCTCCGTAACATGCAGTAAATTTATCAATGTTTTTTTCACGGAAAAAAACTAACTGCTTCATTTACATTCGGTAAAATCTTAATACATTTTTTAACGTTCGCAACTTTTATTTATGCATACTTTTATACACAATTAATATATACATATATCGAAGATATTGATCCGTCTCCTTTACCTCGGTTTCTAGTATGTTTCATTTGAATCAAGTAAATGCTAGGCTAGGTTACTACTGGTGGTCAGTGAATGTATAGACTTAACAAGTTGACTTGCTTAGTGTGCATATATATATATACTGTAAATGTTATTGAGGCGATTGGTCTAAAATTGGTTGGATACTTATTTTTCTGTATTGTGATATGTACATATACAATTAAGTGATAATGCTTTGGACGAATTGCGCTATATATATATATATATATATATATATATATATATATATATATATATATATATATATATATATATATATATATATATATATATATATATATATATATATATATATAGCCTAATTTGTTATATATGAGGAACGAAAGGAAATTCTAAAAGTTATTTCTGATAGGAATCTGTGAATGTCATGAGACTGACTAGGCTGAGGAGTACTCAAAATACAGTTACCAAACATTTTAGGCGTTTTCTTAGATACTTGATGGAAAACTCTGGACATATACTTCCTGCTTGTTGGCACCATCAGCAAAACGTATTTGCAAGCTTGATAACCAATGAAATTAACGGACAGTTAGATGAATATGATACTGACTGGCTGACAAAATCAACGTAGAACCTCGCATACAGATGCATCTGTTCAAGTTGCCACACTTCAAAGTAGTACACAAAGAACAAATGAGTAGAATAGGAGTGATATCATAGAAAAAGTTTTGTGAGAGAATAAACAATCTGAAGATAAAGGTTAGTGCGAATATTCAAGCTTTAGAAGATATCAAGGAGGGAATAAATCTGAGCCATTGTGACTGGTTTCCAGCCAGCAGGCAGTTTGCATCGCCTCACATGACTCGAACGAACAGTAAGAGACTTCATCAACTGGCGTCAAGGCTTGGTCTCTCCACCGTGAACCCTCTTCCAACCGAATCCAACTTCTCTTAGCATGGTGGCTCGACATGCATAGTATATATCCAAGCCATCTCAGTCGACTTGCTTGTCTTGCTTAGTACCCTTCGCCTGACAGATGAATATGCAAGTTAACTGGACGATCAAATAATTTAACAGTGGAGGGAAGCTATGACTCAACTGTGTAGACAATTAACTTGCAACTTATGGCTTTTTAAGTTTGAACGTTATTTTACCTACGGAGGTTCAAGTAACCAGGTGTTATTACCAGCACTCGTATAACACATGTGGACCATTGTCTAATGTACAAGCCTGCACATAGTTTGGTGAGTTACGCAGTTTAATTGTAAGACTGAATGTTGGAAGATAATTAAGGATCAACATTGTTTTTGAATTTCAGATTGTTTGACAAACATTTTGTCCCTATATACATTATATTGTCAATGTTATATCACTCAGTTTTTCAAATGATGGGATTTTAAGCTTAAACAATAGAATATTGTTCTGATAAAAATTTCAAAGTGTAACTCACCAACCACTTGCACATTCGTGCAAGCCTTATCTTTTATATAAAGACCAATAATACTACCTGGCTACCCGAATTTCTGTAGGTGGAGATTGGTTCGAACTCGTCTATTGGTTGAAAGCTGAATGCTTAGACTAAAGAAACGCGACTTACATCAACGTAGTACCACTACTTCTTTTGATAGTGTCAGTATCATTCTTCGAGTTTTATGTTCAAAACTTATTCCTTAAACTGTAATCCCAGCTTTTCATTTCTGATTGATTTTCGATACGGTCTTGAGATCAAACTCTATTACTGCTTACTAATTGCTGGTGATTTCAATTTTTATAAAAGTTTGAAGTATCCCTTTGGAGCTAGTGAGAAAATGAGTTCTCTTCCGGTTATATCGAATGAAATCGAAATCCATTCAGCAGCGTTGTACTCACTCTTGCAGTAGGCAGTGAGATACACTTATCGTGAGAGAGCTAATGGTATTTATTACCTAGGTGCTCAAACCTCGGTAAATAATAGAGCGGTGTTTGAACCCGTGGCCCATTGGTTGGAAGTCATCTAGCTAAACCAATTGACCAAAACTCCATTTTCATTTACTTAGCTAACTATATACTGGCTGTTAAAACGGTAAGGTATTTTACACTTGTTTCATTCACTTAATCCATGTAAATTTTCCTTGTATATTTCCCCTTGTTCAGGACTATATGGATAATACACATGGTAAAGAAATTGATTTAAGCAGAACAACTGTCAAGATTCCTGGTGTAGCGTTTCGACAGGTTGGCAGTCGAATAACAAGTAATGGATTACTAAGAAGTCAGTTGAATGAAGGTGGAACAGGTATGATTCAGTATATTTATTTTTAATATGTGCTGTCTGTGTCATACCTAGTAAAATTTTTCTCTATGCTTTGTATAGTTGTTGAGATCGTTGTTAAGTCGAAACACTTTTTGGCAACCACCTTGAATGGTTGGGATGATGACAATTGTTCTGTCGTCATTTGTGTCTGGTAAAAACTTTACATCATACTTGAATGATTTTTCAGAGATAAAAGCATTTTTAAAAAAAAATAGCTTAGTAGATCTCCAGGTTGGCTTCTGATTCGAATCCTGCCTTGGCTCGAGTTCTCATTTTACCCTTGGTTATCACTTGGTATCAATAACACCAGTCCGCTTAATGATGGTTATTTCAGATAGTCTCATCTGTAAAGCAACTTATTCTGCAATTCATCGTAGAATACATCTGTGAAACAGAGTATTTCTTATTGTCGTGTCACTCAGGCGGGTAACAACTACGCAGAAATGTAGCTTTGAACAGAATCACCGTTTAGTGTTTTTGAATTGACTTCTATCCCATACAACATTCGTTCCAACAGAAGGTTACTTGCAACTTCGACAACTTCATAATGGTCGAGTTGATTTTAGAATTTTTTTTTCGTGTTCTCCAGTCTCCAAAGTAGCACAAAATTCATCCGGATACCAAGTACAACCTGCTAACCGGTACCTAATGGCTCCAGATACCGTTTTTTCGATTGATCCGTCCGATATTCATCATGGACTGACCAGTTGGAAAACCACTGAAAACCTGGGAGTATATTGAATAGCTGTTGCGCCTTAGTAGTTTCAGGCTCCTTACCAGTGCGCACCCATGACCCCGACAAGTTCTATGACCAGCACGTTCCCATTGAGCTATTGGGTCGGAATCCAACGATTCACATTTTCTTGCTTCTGTCATTCCTTCCATGTTTTCTATGGTTCTCCAACTGATATCAGTCCGTGGTGAAATATCAACTTGAAATTCTCACAAACTTCCAATTTGATTCATTTGAATTGTGTTTTAATCTTTGTACGTTAGTTGTGTGTTTATTTGATAGCATGCATATATTCGCGTTGTAAGTAAAACTATGATTATTTATTTCTATACTGATCGATCAAGCATTCATTATCTATACTTCCTTATCATCATTTTGTTTGATAGGTTTACTGTAAATTACAAGGCTGATTTAATAATAATAGAGGAATTGTATTCAGTTTGTACATGACATTGTATTACATGACTAGAATAGTATAAGTCTGTGTTAGATATCTGCTTATATTGATCAACTAAGTGTTTAAAGATTTATACCTAGCTGTCTTCTTCAATGTTTAATTATTCTCTGAAAAATTTGTTCTTTCAGTTATGTATTCATGTCATACTACTAATTGTGTTGTTTTATTATTGTGTCAAATCTCTGGTAATTTTTTATTTAATTTCGAACAGATCGACGGTCAACTGGAGTAGAAGTGAAAAATTCCTCTGAAAATACAGTGCCAACAAATGATAATACAGTATCAGGTTGAAACATCTTACTTTATCATACTCAATAATTTATTTAATTAGGTTTATTTTACTTACTGGAAACTTTTTTACGTGCATTTTCTAGCTTTTTTTTTTACTGCCAATTGATTTTCTTTTCTCTGAAGCCTTTCATCTCTGTTGTCAAAAGTTAGTCTTCACTACAGTGAAGAGCAATACATTTAGTAGTGTGATTTTTTAAATTACCGGCCACAACGTAGTACACACGTTTACATTTTATCTATTTATTATTTGTCCTTTGGGTTCCTAGTGGAACATACGGCTTCAGTAGCACGTCTCTATTTCACTCTCTTCTCTGCAGTCTTTTGAACCTGGTTCCACAACTTCCCTAACGTGACGTTGGTGTTGAAAATCTGAATCTTGTTTTTTATGCTGAGTGCAGTCGATCTTTACACTGATTTTAGATTAATGAAGGCCTATCTTGCTTTTCCGTTCCTGGTTTTGACATTCTCATCTATGCCGTCTGTAGTTGAAACGATTCTGTCTAGGTAGTGCAGACAATATATCGTTGATATTTTAACTTTGATTATTTCTGTGAAGTAGCTCGGACCAGTTAGACCTCCGTTCAAAATGTTAAGCTTCATTTATTTCAAATACACCTCAGACTTAAATAAATAGTCGAACCCATATCTAATGTCAACTTTTTCACTTGGTTCCTAATATTTTCAATTCTATTCGGTTAAACTTTGATCATTTTTCATATTAAAAACAGTTGGTTGTCGTATATAACCTTACATTCTCATAAACTTGTGTTGAAATATGAGTCTCATTCAAATATGACAGAAACCGCACATTTACTCTACAGTTAAGCAGTTGCTTTCTTTTTGTAGCCTTTTTTCATTGAATTGTCACTTTAATTTTCAAGTAATTCATCATTAGCATCATTGAAACAGGCATTACCGTGTGACAGTCCAAGTTACCACACCTCATATCAACTCATAAAGTAATAATATAGTGAGATAAAAAATGAAAACAGAAACAAAAATGAATCAAAAACAGCAGAAAGTAGTAAAAGAGACGGAGGAGGAATAAGGAAGTGATAAGATTATGTGTAGCATTTAAGATGAGGATAATGTGTGTTGTATACATCTGCACTGCTGACATTGGTTCTAAACCATATCACCTAGAGTCTCCAACCAACGGTCTCTTTTGTCCCCCGGACCCCAACTGGTTAGTTTGCATCGCCCTGCATGGCTCAAACGAACAGTCAAGGACTTCATGCAATGATTCCATGTTTTAGTCTGGCGGCTAGGAGCCTTTTTCCAATCTGAAACTACTTCAGCTAACATTGTGCGACGGGGCATAAGGTGAGTTGGCTTGCATGTCACATGTCCCAAGCTATCTGAGTCGATAAAGATTCACAACTGCATCAACTGACTTTCCTCTCCCTGAAATTCTACACTTGGCTTCTGCATCACTGAAGTGCTGAGACCATGACACCCGGCCTACACTATGAAGGCAACAGTGGTCGAACACTTGAAACTTTCTAATGACCTCTACCTTCAGTGGTCATATTTTGCTCCCATACAATAGAGCAAAGCAAAATTCAGCAAAGTACATTCGACTCCTAATCGACAGCCGGATATCGTGGTGGTGTCACAGATGGCATAATTTGGTGAAGTCCAATCGACCCTTTTGTATCCATGTACAGATTTCGTCACCCACTGACCCACCAGGTCTGGTCTGACTTCCTATGTAAGTGAAGTGTTCAACTCACTCAACCACTTTACCCCTATTTTTACACAAGGCACGACTATAGACCAGCCTTGGAGCAACGGTTCGCATTTGGTTGGTGAGAAACGCACCCCAAACATTCTCAAATGTCCTTTCAAGGGGTCTAAGAAACTGCATTTTATCAGTGTCTTCACCGTGTGGGACTATATCCGACCGCAGGCCAAATTTTCATTTCACCTTCAATCATCACCCAGCATATCATCTATGTATTCTAGTTTTACCAAGGTTTTTCCTATGATTAAATCAATCCTTAAAGGATTCATCGCGAAACGACACCTTTCAGGGAATCATTAAAATCCAAAATCTACTAGTTTGCTACTTCATTTAGCTTGGAACTACTCAGTTGTGTGTAGTCGAAGCCGTGCGCTTCAAGATGCATTCCCCAGGGTTCTTATATGTCATGACTTATGGGGTCAACCAGGCTGGGTGTAAAGACAATAACTCACTGATAACATTGGTTGATGATCGCATTATGCTACGAATCAGCAGACATTAGAAATATTAAACCATTGGGTTCCAAACCAGTGACAGTAACATGTTCGCCGTAAAACCTAGTGACAGGTGATATCCTGATTGAGATAATCGCTGTACACTGTTGAAGAATTTCAAACTAAGCCGAAACATCTGTCCGATGCTCCTTGATTTTCACTGGTATTGATCGGTGAATCAATCTGTCCTCCACAAAATTACCGAATGAATTGTTCCTTTATGTTCTATCTCGTGTTCATTTCATTTCAGGTAATTGCTCTTTTTTAATGAGTTTTCTGCTGAACATAACTCTCGTTGGTTCTTAAAAGATACTATTCTTCTTGTTGTTGATAGATTTTCCGACCTTAACACAAATAAAATTGTCTGTAACTAGCGCCACAAAATACTCACTGTGAGGTTTATTCTCTCTGTGTAGGTACACAAACTTCCAGTTCTTTATGTGGGACATTTCAAGCCAGAGATTTTTCCTTTAATTTAGACCAGGAACGGTTATATTAGTAATGAAGGTGTGGCTTTTAATTCACATTTTCTGTTTCGTTTGATGTCATTGCATCACTCACTTTTATGCAATTGAATGAATTCCATGAGGATTATGATGCCTTCACATACGTTTATTGTAGCCTAGTTTGTAAGGAATTAACATTTTTTTTACAGAAGAATCAGTTTATAGGTTGTAAATGCGATAATTACTTAAAGTGAACCAACCACAGATGAGAGACAGATCTTAAAATCTGGAATAACTATTTAACACTGAGCGGATGATATTATTATTTATTATTTGTCCCTTGGGTTCCTAGTGGAACATAAGGCTTCAGTAGCACGTCTCCATTTCACTCTCTTCTCTGCAGTCCTATGAACCTGGCTCCACAACTGCCCACAAGCTCTCATTTCTTCCTCACACGATCTCCATGTTATCCCTGGACGCCCAACTCGCCGTTTCCCATCTGGGTTCCACTCGAGGGCCTGGCGTTGCCGAATGGTCTTCTCAGTGCATGTCCGATCCATCTCTACTTCCTTCTGCATATTTGTTGAGCAATAGCTACTCGGTTGGTTCATTCCCAGAGTTCATTGTTGCTTATTCTCATTATTCTGGCCATCTGATCTTCAGTGTCCAGTGAGCGTAGGCAGTTGTTGATGAGTGTTTGCAGTTTGTTGGAAATCCCTTTCGCAACGCACCAGGTCTCTCAACCATCACATAGAAGCACTGACTTGACGTTGGTGTTGAAAATCCTAATCTTGTTCCACATGCTGAGTGCAGAATATCTCCACACTGGTTTCAGGCTTATGAATGCCTGTCTTGCTATCTTTCCGATTCTGACTTTGACATCCTTGTCTGTGCCGCTTGTAGTTGAAACAGTGCTGCCTAGATAGGTGAAAGAGGTTACTTCCCTAAAGTATCTCCTGCTGATGGTGGCTGGAGCTTGTTGTTGTTGTTGATGGTGGTGGTTGGGTATCTTCATAACCTCTGTCTTCTTATACGTTCACTTGAATTCCCGTCTTCCCTGCCCTGCCTCTTCTGTCAACTTGTTCGATTTTGCCTGTAGATATTCCAGTTTGTGTGACATTAGACATAAGTCATCGGTGAAATCCAAATCTTCTAGGATCTTTTCCCGGTCCAGCCGGCGTATCCCCCTCTTCTCGCTCCTCACTGTTTGCTGCATGATCCAGTCCACTACAATCAGGAAGATCATCGGTGATAGTAGACAGCCTTGTTTTACTCCTGTCTTCACTTCAAAAGCATCTCTGAGCTTCCCATTGTGAGTCACTTGGCATGTGGCATCTTTATATAGCTATTGAATGAGGCTGATTAAGATTTGTAGCACTCCGTGGTGTCGATGATGTCGAAGGCTTTTTTAAAATGGATGAAGTTGAGGTAGAGAGAGAGAGAGAGTTGACTGCCATTCTTTACTCTCTTCTATGATGATGCGTAGTGTGGCGTTGTAATTTGATCCGCACATGATTTGTACTTCCAGCGCATCCTTTAGTCTCTCCAGGATGATGCGGTATAATATTTTGCTTTGGGTGGACAGGAGTGGAGCATGATTCTGCACCAGTTCTTGCAAACACCTAAATCGCCCTTCTTTGGGAGCGGATGATATATCGATCAAAATTCCTAGTTAGTTTTGACTATACCACAAAGATATATAACGGTATCCAACCCTTACTATGCTTGGTACAAACAATTTTCTTTTATGACTTGCTTTACTCATTTTGAGAATTATAGTCAATATGTTACAGATTTTGTCTGATTTACCTGTCCACTGTATACACATACATATCTGTATGAGCTGAATTTTCAGTCGGAAGGCATTATGACTGATGAAAACATTTTTTGAGTATCACTTTTGGTTGCCTTATGAATTTGATGTATGCAAATTACTTACTTGTCTTTGAGAGGAAGACGGAAGAAGAAGAATTTCTCTTCCAGGATATACTTTTTTGATTGCCTCAAAATCTAAAGAAAGTTTTCACTTCCACCAGTTCCATGGATGAACTGAGTCACCAAACAGAACATAGTGGATAACGAATTTGACGGATAAAACTGCTGTTTTAATAGTCACAGTGAGTTGGCAGACAGTGATGATGGATACTAGCTAGCAGTAGAATCCAGAACGCGCGTTTCGTCCCATCAGCCGGATGTACCTGCCTCTTAATGAGTAGTGTTTTTCTGACTATTACAAGCAGTGACATCAAATAATGTGTAAGCCCATCCAATCGAAAAAGAGGATTCATATGGCAAAAGTAATCTGTTCACT